ATTACGTATTCACAAATGTCTCGCTTCTAAAATTACAGGAAACTAAAAGCCTATTCCTTACCATACGGTACATGAATTATCTGGAGCTAAACATGAAAAATCAGTGCATCTCCATGGAAATATATAGAAGCAAGAAATTTGAAGACTGTATGCACAGACCTCTTCCGAGAAGACATTCATCTAAATGTAGTGCGTTTATCACTAAACATTATGACTGATGCCTAGTGAAAGCTGAAAAGCATACGATTATCTGATAATCAACATTTATGACAAGAACATCATGAAATGTGACTTAAGGCAACGGAAAAGAACGAGTGTAATGATGTCAGGAAATAAAGATAACTGACCGTCAGCCGAGGAAGAACTTACCAGATATACGATGCTTTCGTTTCATGTTGCACGCGCCATGGTTTGGTTGAGTAAATTGCTTCCCCGTTCAATTGCAACCACTGTCCAAGCTGACGTAAACGCTCCTCGTAAATAGGTGAAATGGTGCCCCAAGCAGTCGGTCCAACATTGATCAGTATATTACCCCCGAAAGCCACTGTGCTCACCAGTTCGTAGATAAGCTCCTGAACCCGGTTTTTAGTGCAAAGCGTGGTCATGAGTTAAAACTGATTGCAGTGAAAAAAATCTGAACCAATCACATAGATTAAGAGGCTCGTTTATCAATCGGGTAATATGTGTGCTCATTGAGTGAAAATAGAACTGTTCCAAACATGTGCAACAGTTGATAAAATATTGAACATTCGCTCTCGCAGCTCGGGTGAACTAAATTCCATTGCGCCTGTTCGCCGAGCTTGGCATTTTGTTTGCAAAACGTTTCATCACCAGCCGAGGTGACATCATTAGTGTTTGTGAAGTGGCAGTGTTCGGACAAACTGGGAGAAAACTGTCAACAAGGATCCGTGAACACCAATCGGCAGTCAGGAGACATGACACACTATCGTTGATTTCCCTCCACGAAGATCAAGAAGGACATCAAGTTGACTTCGAATCAGTGAGAATTATCGACCAAGCCCGGTCGAAACAGGCCAGAGAATTCCTCGAGGCCTGGGACTCTTCAATTAACTCAATAAACAAGCACATCGAGCTGGAACACATGTACACGCCAATGCAACTCAAGGACCAAATGACGAAGCAAAAAAGGTCACGCTGTGACCTGAGAACGGACGGAAACCGCAATCGGGAAGAAAGGACAACCTCCTCCCGTCCCACCCTCACCCCCTCACACCAGTTCAACGGCGAACCAAAACGAACACAGTGAAAACAGGGGACGAAAATAGTCGGTGGATGAGAACATATATATAAACGAACGGGTACAAGAAGAACACTGCCACTTCACAAACACTAATGATGTCACCTCGGCTGGTGATGAAGCGTTTGCAAACTAATTGCCAAGCTCGGCGAACAGGCGCAATGGAATGTTCAGTAGAGAATTCCTTACTTCGTCAGCCTGTGTTCTCCTAAAATAAACATAATTTATTGCGTGTTTGGAATCACATAAGTCCTTCTTCCTTCCATCCTTCCTTCCTTCTTGTTCTCGTTCTCGTACGTTATCATTACGTGCTGTTCAACAGTTTCATGTTCCACTCATCTTCACATAGTGATTTTCACTTTCTACACTTTTTGTTGTTAACTTTCAATGTAAACATTTTGTCCTGTATGCATATAATCTGTATCATTCTCGTAAATCTTTGCTCTTTTTCTTGTGTTTTAGAGAAGTCTAAGGTGATTGTAGTTTACGTTACAATAAAATCTCAAAAGGACGGAAAGAATTGATGATTTTTAATCAGAGTGCATCATCACATACCTGGACTGAGACTCAGATTTTTCTTCTTTGTTTCGCTGTGTCTGGAATGTCATGAATGTCCTTGTTGATAGTTTTTGAAGGACTTTAAGAGCAAGCATCTACCGGCGTGCTATATTTCCAAATACTCCTGTTCTCTTAGCACATATTTTATAACTTCTGTTCCTCTAGGCACCCTGTTTGGCAATTTTAGGTGAAGATACCACGGACCATTTGTGGCTGGTTATTTGCTAGGCCTAGCTGCACAACAGACATGAATGATCGGATTGTTCTCGTTGCTCTCTTTTCATTTCCATATGTGATGAACGAATCTTTGTAAAGAACAACCTTCATACGTACATTCTATCTCATACTATTCCACAATAACCAACGTTTTCCGGAACCTTTCTTATTGGTTGTAGCCCAACCACTAATCAAATTGGTCAATTGTACTAACCAATCAATGACAAGCGCATCTGCTCTGGCATATCTTTTAACATCTACGGTTTGTGCCGTAGTTTTGACTTTTGAAACTTGCCAAATTTTTTTACATCTGGAGGATAAGGGAGAATTTGAGCACCATGGAAAGCTTTTGTGTTATCTTAGTTAATCAATTATTCTTACTTTCATTTTAAGCTGGAAAGATAACTGAAGATGAAGCATCACACTTATTTATCCAATCAACAATAAATTAGTGAATGGGAACAAATAATCTCTGCTTGTGTTGCAAGACTAAACTGATAATCATCGACGTACGGTACCACGTTTTGCGAGACAATGCAGGAAAATATTGGATCGAATCTCACCTCAGGTGACAAAAAATCCTTCAGTTGCGCCTCTCTCCGAAATCCCCACGAAGAACGATCCAATGTCATACAGTTCTCCCATTTGTGTTCCACAAGTTGACCCGGTCGATAGTGATCCGTACAGGTGTAGTAACCGCCGTGCTTGCACATGCAACCATCTCCCCAGCGATCGTTTGTGACGACAGTGTCACGCACCGGTGACTCATTATACAGCCAGGCAAGGAAATTCATGGAATCCCAGTATCGGTCTGGACCGACATCTCCGTCAGACCAGAACACTTCAGGTCGATAACGCAACACAAGATCCTTCATTTCAGGCATGATTTTAGTTCGGATAAACTCCTACAAATGAACGAAACAAACAGTTGACGAACTATAGGTATATATGTATATGTATGTATATACGTATTCGTGCAAGCTAATGGTGACAGTCTTTTTACTATCTTTCATGGGGTAGACAAAGATGAAATTCTCAGGAAGAGGTTTCGGCCGTAAAGGCTCGACCCGAGGGTCATATATTGAAGGGACTAGTTGGATGGCGGTAATGGGATTCCAACACACACATACACCATTGGAGCGATAAGTTGGTGATTATGACCGCTTATCCTCCATTTTATACTCTTATCTCTCAGTATATACTCGTCAAAATTCATCATTCATAAACTTTATAAAATCACTGGTTCAAGAAATAACGTCAACGCCAACTCAAACAAGAGTTGTAGACTTGTAACCAAAGCTCGAAAGAATGAAACCAACCCAGTTTCATGGACTTGAAGGATTAGTTTAATGAGCGAAAGAACGTCGGATCTATTCTGAATGATGTCATAAATCTGCGCTCGGTAGATGGCCATGTATATGAATCAGTCATACTGTAAGTCAACACTGAACAGTAGTCACGTCGCAAACGGTAAGGGAACAGCAATAACTGACGTCATGCATGGTATGTATGGACATATGCATACTATAGCAAACAACTTCCAGAACAGATGGCTCACTAGCTCCATGGATAGATAGATAGATAGATAGATAAATAGATAGATTGACACCCTGGCTCGACGGTTTGTCTATTAAAGTCGTTATCTATAAATCACTCTGGTAAATAGACTGTTTTCTAATAGCATACTCGCAGTATGTTTATTCTGAGATCGATTGGAGTAGCAGCTGGTCTTTTTATCCCTGTGAAATATTCTTCTATTTTGGTATGACTTTGGAGGTCGAGTACAATTCTGGTTGGTACATCTTTTTGATTTCATTAAAATCATCATCATCATCGTTCATTAAAACATTCCTTTGAACAATGAGAACAGAATTTTCTCGGCCAACTATACTCTGGTCTATTACGTTGTTTGGAATAATGAACTTGAGTAAGACTAGCTTATGGTGTAGAAATTGATGAAATGTTCATTTCAACTGTACCTGTGCCACATATTCACAAATCCAGTTTGAAAACTCGTTTTCCGAATCTGTCGTTCACAAATCGCACCTCAGTCACTGTTTAAAATAATTGTGACAATCTGATATTATTACATCGGGTGTAATGGGTTTATACGAGACAGGCGGTCCCAATTCATTCTAACCAATCACATCGTTTAGCACAATATATATGTGTTTCAGTCACAGATACCGGGTGATGCTGCATCTCTGAATCACATCGTGTTTATCTTCAGTGTATCAACACACATCATTTCCTCATGAGCAGCAAAGCCAGTTCTACAATGTTGATGAACTTAACCAAATGGGCACATTATATAAAAACAACTACGCCTCTCGATAAAATATCCATTGAACCAGACGATGAGAATACATAACTGATAAGCGTTAATGAGGGTGAAACCGAGTCAATACTGCTTCCCTAGTGTACGGTTGACTGGCTGGATCGGGGATTATTTGTGTAGCTGGAGTCTAAAAGAAACTCGCATCAAATCGATAATTTTGCTTTATTGTCCAAGTTCAGTCATGTTTTTCAGGTTTAGCGGATAAGAATAGGAGATAAAGTTCCAGTTTGATTGATAAATAATACAGTTCAACTAATACCGAAATGTGGCACTATGTGCATACTTGCTTAGTAAAATTTGCATCACGATCCTTCAAGTAGAGCGGATTAAACCATTCGTACAGGGAATGATACACACCAAATCGCAAATCGGTTCGTTTGCGAATTGCCCCGGCCAGTTCACCGACCAAATCTCGACGCGGACCAATAACTGCAGAATTCCACTGCCATGAGGTTTCGGAAGGCCAGTTACAAAATCCTTCGTGATGTTTTGCCGTCAGGACCACATATTTGGCTCCTGAGTCCCTGAACAGTTCTGCCCATTTGGCGGGTTGGAAGAATTCAGCTCGAAAATCCCGTGCAAAATCCGCGTAAGCGAAATCGGGGGCATAGAACTGGCGCATGTACTCCGGCACATTCGGACGTCGTGTTTTGTTTCCCTCCCAGAGCCACCAGAACCATTCGGATCTAGTTTTGAAAACAAATGGGAAAATTTACGATGATATACTTCAAGCTTTAGCCCAAGAAACCAGCGGCTTTCTGGTTCAGGCTCAATGACAAAACTTCGTTAAGTTGAATAAATAACAAACACTACCGAGTTGGATTGATACATTTCTTAGTGTTTCGCCCACACTCATTCCGTGCTCGTGTAACGAACTGACAACAACATCTCGCATGCATCACCCACAAGGCGCGTGAAACGCAATCTCCCCGATCCGAATTTCATTAATGACCAATGTTAACTTTTGCGGTTATTCTCAAAAGCTCCAGCTCACTTAATCCGGTGAATTGAATTTTTCTGACTTACCTTTATCCAATAATGACTTGCACAGGCTTTTAGTTTAAATATAGTTTCCCAAAGTTACTTATCTTGGATACTAATTAAACACTACACTCTGTTTCTCAAAGGATTCGTTTCTTTCCGTTATTTGAGTAACTACCTATGCAGTCCTGATCAGAAAACCATTGAATTCAGTTCGGTTGTTAGAGGTCTTTCTGTTTGAGAAATCAAATAGATGAAATAAACGTGAACTGCAATGAAAAAGCGATAGTTTCAAGAGGTTTAACAATAAGATGGGAATCAATGTTGTTTCCGCAACTGGGTTCAGTCTTAAAATGAAATCTGCTCCGATGATTATTCCTCATAGTCGAGGAGGCAAGTGGGCATTGCATATCTACTCCAAACATACACATGCGCAATCAAAGTAGTGTGCATCTAGTTGTCAAAAGATTTCTTGTAAAGGTCGACATAAATCACTGGGGTAACTACGATTTCCTTGCCTACTACGACTCCTTAGTGGTGTGTACTACTTTTGTGCTATCGACCGGGCTCATGAACCATCTGCTTTCCAGGCAAAAACCCTAAGCATCCGACACAAGGTAACTGATCAAACATTAGACTATTTAGATTGAATGCGTTTCTTCTTCGGTCACATGAGAAACACCGAATTAAGTGCCCGTGAAACCTGATTAAATTAAAAAAAGGTAAACATATTTTTGTGAATCGGATTCAAAACAGAGATATTACGGATCTTTTTTCATCCTTTTTTTCTTTTTCATTTTACTTCCTTTTTTATTGAATGCTGAAAGATACAATTTTTCAGGAAGGGGGAAGCGGCCAATCAAACGGGGCTGCCATACAACACACACAAATGGGGAAAGTCAGGCGGTGGTAGTGGGATTCGAACACTCGTCCTCCGGGTTGATAATTGGTGGCGTTACCACCGACCCACCACCGCCCCATCGATAAATGAGCAGCACTTGGTGTGCCTTAACTGTGAGACCTTGTTTGGCATAGAGAGCGATAAATGAAATGAATCAATAGCAACTTGGCAACCTCGGAAGGCGACTTACCATCTTAGCGAAAGGTGAACCTGCGGTTCCGGCTTATTTATGTGCATGCAAAAGAATATTCCCCAGTTTGGCACAAGGATCACACACATTTGTATTACACATCCATAGACGCGGGAGGCTTGTTGTTCGCTCATGAAAAATACAAACTAAATCACGGTGCGTGGGTTGGGTAATAACCGATGACCCTGCTAACATGTGCCATACCACGACGAAGCTAACGACCCCCGAAGTTGACTGACAGTAACTGGGCTGAAACCTTTAACCCCACAAACCAAATCAAATGTGGTGATTTAAGCCGCTTGACCAGCACTAATTAGCAAGAGTGCAACAGAAGGACACAAGTTTATGTAACAACCAAGCTACTTTTTTTGGTCTTAATTGGGAGAAAGTTGTTGATTAAAGCGACTTTTGACTTTTGACTTAACTTGACTTGTTCCAGATAGCCCAAGTTTATGATTTGTCGGACTAATATTCACGGCTTCGAATCCCTGAGGCTTCAGTGTGTACATATTAATGCTGCTGAATATGGAATGACTGTAAGGAAATGGCAAATCTTTTTTTACTAACCACTGTCGTGTTGACTGTGAAACACAAATTTATTCTCTCAAAAATGAAATGATGAATATCGTTCAGTGCCCAACAGCCTCATGATTATATTTCATGGGTATTCGTGTACGCAAATCAAAAGCTGACACACCGCAGTCGTTCAGACATGACTTACTCCAAACTCGGCACGGAAAAGACACCCCAATGCAGAAAAATTCCAACTTTCGCCTCGTCATACCATTCTGGTAACGGTCGTTGATCAAGGGACTCCCAGTCCGGTGTGTAAGTTGCTTGTGAGGCTTGTTCTGCCTTGTGTTCATAAAAGTTTGACCGCGATTGCACAACAAATGCCCAAATAAGAAACAGCAACGGTATCCGCAATCCTCCAGTCCACATATCCAAGGATGGAACACGGGCGAGACAATGATCTGACAACGGACCTTTTATCACGGGTCGCAATTGTTGCACACTGGTGCACAAAGGTGGCCCCGACACTAATGTACTCCTGATCGATCACACAGTCTTGTGTAGAGTAAACAAATGCCACGAATTTGTTCGAGTTAGTTGGCCACACAGTGGGCGCCTCGTGACTAGTGATCGATGCTGGACAGTTTTCGCTTGACTAGACCAGTTTTGTAACCAGCCGAATTGAATCACATCGTTATTGACCTCTGATGACCCCACAAATTACATTGTAAAAATATCAATCATTGTGGCGTGAGTTTTGTGACTCGGGATGCAATCGAAAATCACTGCTTTTCTCAAGATAAAGAAAATGCCAATAGCACGTTGAAGTACGATTACAACACTGATAACTAGTTTACCAAATCAAAACCATTATCGTCGAGAACAAAACAACTTGAACCATTGATGGAGAATTTACACAATCTTATGCTAGCTGATATTGATCCAAACATTTGAATAACTACCGAGAGAGTATCCTTAGACATCCCGGAACGTTCCGTACAGCTCTGCTAGTTATGCAACTGTTTACAAAGAGCATTTCGTCTCGTTGTAGCAAAATACGATTCAAATAGAATTGGTCTATATGAACAAGTGCGATGATCCGGCCTACGAGATGACGCCTATCCTGTAGCGGTGCGTTACAGTTTTGGACACCTGCGATCAATACAATTTGAAAGGTGACATCAATGACGCGCGAACATGTCACTGCTTCTGACTACACACCACAGGCAGTTCGTGTTAGCCAATCCGAGACAGTGCAGACAGAAACAGAATTATGCAAGCAATACTAGAATGCAATTTGTGAAAGCCTGGATATCCAATGATCTTTTGCACACATTAATTAATCGCCCTCGTTTCTCCCAATACAGGAACTACCATTCCTGTGGCCTTTTCCTGGCGTCTGTTATGTGGGATAGTGCGTGATAGTGCCATTGCGGTCCAGTGCTTCCGTGATCCAGTTCGTGATTGCTAATCCTTGATTCGTCTTCCGGGATTCGTATTGCTTGGTTTGTATTCCGAGTCAGGTGCGCATTACCACTACTGCTACTACAATCGTTACAAATTGGCGTCGCGTGATGGAGCTTCCAACTATTGAGCAACTGAACCTGCAGGCAAGTCCATCTGAGATCGAGGAGTGGGTCGAACGGTTTGAATTGTGGTTCAGCATTCGCAAAGCTGGTGCACAGAATCAATCAGCCCTATTTCTTACTGCTGGCGGCCGTGATCTCTACTCCCTGTTGAAAAACCTCGCATTCCCTGAGGCTCCGGCTAAACTACCATGCGAATCCCTGGAGTCGCTGCTGCTCAACCATCTGCTACCCACAGAGTTCCAAGCACACGAAAGGGCCAAATTCAACTCCATGATTAGTGCCGATCATGTTTCCTGCAGCTGAACAAACAGGAATCACGCTGCAACTATGGTGATCACCTGGAAGAAGAACTGTGTGACTGCTTGGTGGCAGAAAATAATAATCTGACTCTCGAACGGAAGTTACTGGATAAGAAGGAATTGACTTTTGCTGAGGCTCGCAAGATCTGTGAGCAACACGATGACCTGATGAGAGCTATCTCCAGCGAAGCAGTCACATTATTTCAACGGCAGAAGACACGACTGAACCGACTTCCAATGGCCAAGTGTTTACCGAAGCCGCAGCAAGACCGTTCAGGCAACGATAAACGTATCAATCCGTGTTTGTTATGTGGAGCTCACCATGTGCGCTTCAATTGCCGCTTCCGAAATGCCAAGTGTCATGTGTGCGGGAAACTGGCCATATTCGGAGAGTGTGCCAACAACCCCAATGCAATCTCGCACAGCCCTCGGTCGAAGAGGAAGCCAACCCTGTGCTTTCCCTAAGAACACAAAGGCAATGTGACCATTACCTACACCAAGAAATAATTGATTCCATCCTCGACCTGAACGCTTTACGGAAGTTGAATGAACCTGTTTCAATGCATCTCTACAAGGTACCGACTATGCATACTCAACGGTGGAGGCCGACCACGAGTAGTCCCACTAGAGTTGGAAGTATGTGCACACAACCCTCCAGATCGAGAGTTACTGGTCGCCGAAAGTTACGCACAAAGCCACATTGCTCTTGTTCGCATGGTGCAGCGAAAAATTTGGTAACAACACTGAAAAGCGCTATTTTATCGGCGAGCCAGAAGACGATCGCAGAATTTACAGAACTGTCTGAAAATGTCCTACGGAATTGTGAGAATGCTATTCGCCCCAACACTAAAGAAAGATCGGTGAAGCCGCCAAAATCACGAAGATCGCGAATATCGGTGCGATTTATTACTTCGGCGAACGATTCAGCTGATCAGCAACAACAAATCCACCAAATACGTGCAAAGGACTCTACAAGTTCGAACAATGAATTCACTGAATCTGCATCCTCAAGTACCTAAACCAGAAAACAGAAATCCGGTGATCCTGAAGCGCCTAACGATGAAGTTACCGCACTTGTTCTAGACAACGGATTGGTGAACGGACATATGAGTGCTAATATACGGCCACCACCCACCCATTAACATGCAGCCCTCCCCTCCCCCCATTTCCCAATAAACTCCATTCTCGTTAGGTTCGGCCAACAAGCCAACTAACTAATCCTGTGGTCAAGCAGAAGCTGGGATGCTGGGGTTCATCATTTCTTACGTTTTTTACCATAACAACAAATTTACATATACACACAAATGATGTCATTTATATGCTGTTGCCTAACACATGCACTCAGTTTTGTCCACTCTTGAGGTTTTTGGCATGGCAGTCAATATCTGTTTCCTTGATTATAGAAATGCTTTTAACTGTGCATCATTATATCCCAATTGCTCCCATGGCTACGAGACATTTGGGCTTTTACTAGCCGGATTGAAACGCCTCTGTTAATGAGACAGGCCAATTCACTTTCTTCAATGGCTCTTGAACCCAGCCGATTTCTTCATTTTCTGTGGTGATAAATAATACTATTTTCTACATGCGTGTTTTTCCTAATTCTGCAGACAACTTCATTAGTAAATTTGTCGACGACGTCGTTGTCGGCTGTTAGTTTGATGAAAATTTCTCATTCCCTTACCTCCGATAGTTTAAGTTATCTTTTTAGACTAGTCATGTTCTACTCCGTTATCCATCAACGCATCGAAATTTGTTGACACCCTCGTTACCAACGGTGAAAGCTTGACAGAAACATTGCGAAACACCAATGGTCTGAGCTGTTGATCGGTTATCGGTGCACATTCCTACATTTTTTGCTGTGGGTTACTCTCCCGGTGATCTCGCATGATCTTCTCATATTATTTGTTCTCTTCCTAAAATTTGTTCAGTGTTTCTTTAACTTTCAGTAGCTTGGGTCCCATCTAACTGAAAATTATTTTATCAGCTCAAACTGCATGCCTTTCACACCACAGTAAACGTCTTTCTTTTCGCAAAGTTGTTAGAGTTTTACGCCTACTCATCGTTCTGTACTTAATCGAGGGAAAACTTTGGATTGTTGATTGTTAGTTGATTCGTCCCTACTGAAACCTCCATTTCAAGAACCGTTCTCATCTATTATACACGACTAATGGAGTCGGAGGCTTGTCATTCTTCAATAGATTTTTCCGGCTTTCAGTCTGTTTATGGCAGGTGTGTGGTTATTTCCGTTTCACATATCGAGCTTCAATGAAACTGAGATATCATAACGCCTAGTTATCATATAGGGTCTTAGGGTGACATTAAAAAAAGTATCAATTCGGGATTTCGGATAATCATTAGGCCTTTTCTAACGCACCTCAAACGACGATGGCATTAAGTGATCTACTTTGACGTCTTTGTTTCTTCATAGTCATTGAAGGTAACGTCAGTATTTGGCCACTATCACCAGGCTGTCAGCGAATCGTAGCTGACACCAGCCTGTCAACCACTGATTCACCACGGGTGCCAGTTGTCATATCAATGTACAAACGTGAGAGGATTAGCGTACCCATTTCTGAATCGATTTAGGTGTGAAATTTAAGGGAGGGTGGGATGCAATACTTTTGCAGCGGTGAAAAAAAACATTCAATAAAATTTCTTATTCCTGCTCTTCATTTGGTCGCCACCTCCAATTCTTGAAAACGATGATGACTATGCATAAGGGAGTGGAGGTAAACCACAAATCTCTTGCTTTTTGTTGTTAATTTTTTTTTGAATTTGAATGGGGCACTGATATTCAGAAACTAACCAAGTAGCGAACCGTAACTAGCGGTCTTTTAATCGACGTTGCAATCTTCCTACTGATAACGTCCTACAGTAGTCGTTTGATCAACGTTTTCTATACGCAAATGCACTTGTTAACCAGTTCTGGAGCCAGGCATCAGAGCTCACTCGGTTAAAATGAACCCTGGGGTTTTTCAGTTACTGGCATCAGTATTCAATAAATTCCGTTCCTATGCAACCAACTAAAAATAGTGTAAGTGTATGTATTTCGTCTTGTAGAAAGACCAGTTGTTCGTTACAACTGAAACGTGTGTGGCAGGTGAGTGAACAGGATATAGTTAAAGGAATATTCCGTAGGGCTTGGGTGTCTGGAAAACGATATTTACATCTCCCCCATAATCGTTTGTTCCATCAGCAATGGAAACGATCATAGTTATAAACAAAACAGACTCTGTTGCCCAAAATCGAGTGAAAATGGCAGATTGTTAAAATTTTCCGGGCGGTTGGTTTTATAATTCCCAGTGTTTACACACCAAAATTGGTGCATGCCCTCATAGACACACACACACACACACGATTTTAGGTACGACAGAAGCCAACGACCTAAGTGCAATCCACTGTAAATGGCCACACGAACAATACCGAACGAGATGATTTTTGGAATATACCGACAGTAGATACACAATATAAACACGGATAAAGACACATTCTATGTCCCGCTGACACAGATGTACTTACTTTTTGCTAAAGTTTGTGCAATGGAAAGTGATCTATCCAGTTCCTTCCGTTCCACTTGAATGTACAATGATGATGATCATAGTGATACCGCGACTGGCTCCGACAACCACAATACTATAGTGTTAGGATTCCAAAAGGCCAGTGACGGATAGAGGATAATTGTTTATTGCGGTCAGCGATAAGAGTATCGATAAATTGGACAACATAGGACGAAACGTCCCATTTGGTATAGGTGATCGATCATAATTCTGACAAGCATGCTGGATAATTCATGGAGCAGTCCAAAGGTAGACGGGCATTTACCTTAGTTACAAGTTTGAATACACTAATTTGCTCTATGAGGTCTTTTTTGTTTTTGGCCGTTGTGGGAAAGCACCAATCACACTCATTTGCACAATCTAAAAGTACCACTCA